AAACTATGCATACTGTGACCACATGGATCTCAAAAATTGGTAACTTGAATAATGAACTCAAGTTGTTGCATTTTAATGATGTTTTGGAGTCATGTGACTATCAGAGTTGGGTAATTAAAGCATATGAGTCTTGTTACCATTTTAATCCAATTTTTCGCTGGTTTTCTCCTTGGCAAGTTATTACTCTCATGTTTGACAGTCTTCTTCATATATAATGTATTTTTTAATGTTCATGCTGCATATTTTAGTGTCTTTATCTTGTCAATTCATGAATTTATACCAATTTCAGTGCTGTAAAACTTTAGTTCAAGAATATTTGTCATTTAATACCATGTTATTACAGATTATTGCATTGAATGTTGTTACCTTGCAGAACCAACTGGATTGCTGATTGATTCTGCAAGGAAACTTATTGTCTCCCACATTCCAGAAGATTCAGCTGATGACAGGAGAGAAGCATTGCTTAGAGCAAGCAATCTTGCATTGGCAAGGGGAATGACAACAGTTGTTGACATGGGAAGATATCTTCCAGGGGGGTCACCAGATCTTTCTTGGGAGGATTTTTCAGGTTTTATTGTAGTTTTCAATAGTGTAACCTTTTCCTATAAAGGAAAGACTGTTGAAAACCTTATAAAAATGGAATTAACATGCAGCTTTGCTGTACTGAATACTGAGCTATGCTTCAGAAAACATGATAATTAATCCATTCAAATGCAGCAAAACACAATGGATTAAAGTTTATGAGCATCTAGATTCAGGCTTGCATAATTTTACTTGCACAATACCTTGAGCTGGTAAAGAAATACTTTTTACCAGTGGAGAAAAGAAGAAATATGAGGTGATACTATATCTAAAGATCTTTAGCGTGGGATGAGCTTAATTAATTTTTTTTCTTTTTCTTAATGTTTTTTGTAAATTTTGCAGATGTCTATCAATGGGCAGATTCATTGTTGAAAATGAAAGTTCGAGTTTGTCTATTTTTTCCATTGGAGACATGGTCACGTTTAGCTGTATGATTCTATTCTCACTTGTACTTAAAGCATGTTCGAATCCTATGCTTAGGATTAGAATTCATGGCTGTATGCTCTTTTGTAAGTCCTCAAAGAGTTTCTGCTAGTTCTCATCATCCTCCACCGCATGCAGTATAGATTGCAGAGGGTTGTAATTCTAAAGAATGGCAACTGAAGTTCCTCAGAATGAATATAGATATTATACGATTCTGTTTTGGCACAGCCATGTTGTATATGTTTTATATTCCTTATTTTCTCCTTCGTTTGATCCACCTTCTACCAGAGTTTGTTCCTCCTTTTGTATTAATTTAAGAATCAATTGAATCTTTGCATTTTTTCTCATGCTTGATACATTTATTAGTTTGCTGTTAAATTCGTCTACTTGTTCTAACTTACATTTAAGTGAACTCCATTACTCATATTGTTATCTGAAGTCTCAATTTTCCTACACAGGATCTTATTAACAAAACAGGCCATGCCCTGAGCCAATGGTTATACTTGGGTGGTGTCAAAGCGTTTGCTGATGGGTCTTTGGGTTCCAGTAGTGCGTTATTGTATAAGGTGAGAACTGAGCTTTCAAAATTTTCCATATACCGTTTCCATTAACCAAGAATATGCATTTTAAGGTGTGCCTTTAGTGATAGAAATTTAGCACCTGGCTTTACCCTGCTTAGTTTGTCATGCATTAGTGATTGCTTAGCATGATATTTCAAACTTTGTAGCCGTACATTGATGGGCCTGGTAACTATGGCCTGCAAGTGACGGATGCTGAAGTTCTTCTCAATTTGACCTTGAAATCAGATCTGTCTGGTCTTCAGGTGCTTTATTCTTTTTGTTATGATAAACCTTATTATCAGTTCATATGAAAGCTTAGTTACTGGCTGGAAGCTTTGCTTTTATTTCGTTTTAGGTTGCAATTCATGCTATAGGGGACAAAGCAAATGACCTGATCTTGGACTTGTATAGTTTAGTAGCTTCTACGAATGGAATGAGAGATCGAAGATTCAGGGTATTGCTTTCACTAGATCATGAAAATAAAAAAATAATGTGTAGTTTACTCATTGCAAGTTGAGGATTTGGTAGCTTTAACTATATATTCATTCTATATGTTTTAATATGCTTACCATGAAGCAACTGAACCTCTATTTTCAGATTGAACATGCCCAACATTTGGCATCTGGAACTCCCAGTCGATTTGGCAAACAAGGAGTCATTGCGTCTGTACAGGTCTTTTTTTTTTTTTTTTTACAATCATCTTGTGGGCTTTTTGTTTATTTATTTACTTGCTTATTTTAGTAAAATAGGACAAATTAATTTGTAAGATCATTGGAATGGCCGCAGATACTAATTAAAATGAGGTCTGAGTAGCTATTTTCGTTTCTTTCTGGCATCCTCCCTTTAATATGCTATCCAATTTTACCGTTTCTTTGGAAATCAATTTGACCGTCCTACAAATATTTAGAGCATAAAAGTAAAAGTAAATTAAGGTTACAAATAGAAGCATATCTCAGGGGCGGAAAGTCAGCATTGTTTAGGTGACATAAAAGGAAATTAGGCCTACTTGAAGTTATGTTTTAGCCAATGTCTACTTTAGTATTGTTTAGGTGATATAAAAGGAAAATAGACCTCGTCGAAGTTAAAGGTTTTAGCCAATGTCTACTTTCCAAGTCTACATTTAGATTTAGTCCTTAAAGCTGCATTATGGCAGCTCTTGAACAAAGACTGTGAAGAACTACAATTCTATATTTCAGGTTCAATAAAATTACTATGCCGACAATTAAGCCGCAATAAGCATAGTAAGATTGATATTCCAAGAACCCAGTTTGATGCTCACTTATCCAAGCTGGGAATGATTGATATATATTCCCCAGCTCGAGGGGGGAACATGGAAGTGTTGAAGTTTTACTTTATTTTTTGTAGATGTAAATAGATTGGAATTACCATCTAACTCTTCCTGATCAATTTTCTACTGAAACGGATGCTTCTTGACTCTCGAGATTGCTAATCAAGTATGTTCATTCCTTTCTTTTAAAAAAGCGATATTTTAAAATGCTGGATTCAGAACTCACAACACCCTTTTCTTTTCATTACTCTGTACCCACAAATCGTGATTGCCTTGTTTCTTTTCATCCATTTGGCTTATTATCATCTTGATCTTAAAGATACGTAATATAAACCTTTAATATGGATTGTATCCTCTCCTTAGGCAATATATTGACAAGGTTTTTTTCCCCACTTCATGTTAACTAATCAACAGCCAGATCACATATTAGATGATGCTGAATCTGCGGGCAGAAAGCTTGGCAAGGATAGGGCTGAAAGGGAGTCGTATTTATTCAAGTCACTCTTAGATGGCAATGCATTGCTGGCATTTGGTTCTGACTGGCCAGTAAGTACGGGGCGTCCATGAACCTCCCATGGCTATGCACATGTTCCCGTTCCTTGTAGCACAGTATTTATTTTAGGACTTTGCAAACTAATGTCTATATATTTTGCAGGTGGCAGACATAAATCCCTTGAGTGGTATTAAGACAGCGATGACAAGAAGGCCTCCCACTTGGGAAAAATCATGGATTCCATCAGAGTGCATTTCAGTAGAGGATGCAATAAAGGGGTAAGCAGCAGTTGAAGCACTGTAGTTCTGAAAATTTTATATGGCTTGTTGATATGTTACCTCTATTTCATCTGGTTTACATGAGCAGGAGATTTTTCTTTTTTCTTCCCCCGTTTTATTATTAATATAGATTGCCATAGTTATGACTAATCAATTCAAGCGAGTTTCAACATGCTTGTGCTTGTTTGATTAATTTCAAATTGGTAGGGTGGTGTTCTATGGTATCAATTGTGTTATGACTTGGAATCGATCTCGCGATTGCTTAAACGAGTTTAGGACAACCAAATGATATAATGCTTCATAGAGAGTGGAATTTAGATGGGCACGAAACGAAGCTTTTTTAATGATGATTTCTTATACACGAGGCTTTCGGATTATACACTCAACTGTATATAACTGCATCTTCAAAGACAAGGTTCTATCTAGTACTATTTCCTATACGAATAAGTACGTTAGATATGCTTTTCATTAAAACTAACTTCTGATATTTATACACGCCTGGTTGTGATTGGTCTGGTCTACTTTTACATTTGGTTGCCCAATTCTATATGAGAATTTTTCTTTCAAGCAATAGAAATACTCTAATGGGATTAGAATTAACTATCTCTTAAACAGCTAGCTTTATTGACAGTGCTTCTTCTACCCTTTATACTGAAACCAAATTACTTAATTTTCAAGACGTGATTGGAGACTCTAACTAACAATCACCTTGATAGGTACACCATTTCCGCTGCTCGTGCTAGCTTCCTTGAAAATCATGTGGGGTCCTTGTCCCCAGGAAAATTCGCAGATTTTGTCATATTATCTACTGATTCATGGAAAGGATTTGCTGAAGAAGCATCTGCATCAGTTGAGGCAACATATGTTTCTGGTGTTCAGGCATATCCTTGAAAACTACAATGCTCGGTCTCTTTCGATAAGTTCTACTCTTAGTTCTATAAAAATACGTGTAACGAGCTAGCGTCTTCCAGATCAATTATGAATGTTAAATACTTTTCGATAGGTGGATAAAGGTCTTTCATTTATTTTATTATTTTTGCGTCCCTTTTATCTAAAGTATTTTTACAATAGAGGGCATGAGGAGTTGGTTAACTTCGTCATCTTCTTTCTGAGAATCTTCAGGACATCATGTTCATATTTTGGTCTTGAATCCGCACGCACTTCTTGAGGCTCCTCTGGAATTTCTTCGTGATCTACAAAATTATCCTCATTATCGTCATCTAGATTTTTCTTTGGATCCTCTTCCTCAAAAGATTCCTCTTTAGGATTGGAGTCCTCTTCTAGAGGTTCCTCTTCAGCATCAAAGTCCTCTTCTAGAGGTTCATCTTCAGCATTAGAGTTCTCACTGAAAGGCTCATATTTTAGTTTAGAACTATTTTCATTAAGAGGATCATATTTTAGTTTAAGATTGTCTAGATACTCTATGCTTACAAAAAAAAAAAAAAAAAGTCAATTTTCAGTGCTCCTAGAAGCAAGTTGCTTCATTTTTACTTAAAACAAAAAATAATATTAATTTAAAAAAAATTAGGGTGTAGTGAAAACCGAACAAAACACTATGCATCCAAGGCACAATACAACATTCTCCCTTCTTATTTTTTTTAAATAAATATTATTTTTTCTTTTAGGTAAAAATGAAGCAAGAGGGGCTTCTAGTATTATTGAATGAAATTTTTATCATAAACATAAATTGTTTTGATGATCCTAAATTAAGATATGAACATCTTAGTGAGGACTTCTTCTCTAATCCTAAAGAAGAACCTTATAAGAAAGAGGATCTAATCTTGAAGAGGAATCTTTAGAGAAGGGGGACTATGATTTTGAAGAGGAACCTTTTGAGCTTCTAATCATGAAGAGGAATTTTTTGAGAAAGAGGATCCAAATGAATTCTAGATGAACCTCAAGAAGTATACACAAATTCATGACAAAAATATGAAGATGATGTTTCTAAAAATTCTCAAAATAAAATTGAAGTTAACCAACCACTCACGCCTTTTGTTGTTAAAAAACTTAATTAAAAGGGACAAAGAAAAAGATAAAATAAATGACTTCAAATTATCAAATAGTATTCAACATTGATAGATGAATATTTTTTAATATTTTCTACATATATTGTTAGCTTTTTCCCCTTGGAGCAACTAGCTTTTGTAACAAATTAGATCTGCATGGAGAGGAGAAAAAATTAGTATCAAATTAGAGGAAAATTTTGTCCTTTTAAAATAAAAGAGGATGGATGGATGACAACAAAGTGAATATATGGAAGAATGGACCAATGATTCATATGGAAAGAAAGATGGCTGAATGAGAAAGATGAACATGAATGCAAATATGGGATGGAATATAAGGATATAACCTGTTAGATGAACTAGGCTCTGCCAAATGATAAGCAAGCTTACATAAAAAATTTATATTATACTTGAGATCTCAAATGAGGGACTTTCGATGCTACAATTACTCAAAAAACTACGTGGTATTCAATCCAAACACTGAAAAAGCTAGTGGAATTGTAGAGGTGCTTGTGCCAAAAATTTTCCTAAACGTATAAAGGAAATCACTAAAAAATATATCACTTGAATTTTTATTCTTCTTGAAACTAGAGCCAGTGGTTTCAAAGCAAATAATATTGTTAAGAAATTGGTCAGTGGTTGGATTAGAGTTGAAGCAGCCGGCTATGTTGGTGGTATTTTGTTATTATGGAATAATGATTTTATAAATTGATTATATCTACTCTAATATTCAACTATTACATTGCAGGATTAATATCTTAACAAATAATGATACCTACATGCTCTCTTGTGTTTATGCTAACCCTAACCCCCTCCATCGAGACGTGCTTTGGAACTCTATTAGTTCTATTGCTCATAATAATTATGATCCTTGGCTTATTGTTGGTGATTTCAACTCTTATCTTTCTTGTGAAGACAAGAGAGGTGGGGAGATTTTCAACTGGAGCTTTGTGAAAGAGTTTAGACAATGCATTAATTCTTCCAACCTTCTTGAGCTCAATTTTCACGATGATAGATTTGCTTGGGAAAAAGGTAACATAAAAGAGAGAATTGACTGGGCTTTTTGCAACACGAAATGGAGACTATAATTCCATCAAGCCAATTTTTTTCACCTTCTTAGATATGGATCTGATCATCGTTCGATAAGAATTCAATTGCTTAAGAAGACTCCTCAAGGGCAACAATTTGAACCTTTCCGTTGCCACGCTGCTTGAATGCTTGAAGAATCCTTCTCTCCTTTGGTAAAGAATTCTTGGATTAATGATGACCGGAAGAAAGGAGCAAAAATTTTTGCCAATTCTGCATTGGCTTAGAACAAGGAAAAAATTGACAATATCTCTTCCAAAAATAAAAGAATTTTAAGGAGGCTAGAAGGAATTGACAGGAATAGGAGCTACAAAGACAATCATTTCCTAAGAAATTTGGAAAAATCTCCTTGGGAAGAATATAATAAAGTTCTTTTACAAGAAGAACTAATTTGGTTCCAAAAGTCCAGATATAAGTGGCTTAAATGGGGAGATCAAAACACAAAAATTTTTTGCACATCAACCACCATTAGAAAGAAAAGGAATATCTCTTAAAGACGAAAATGACAACTGGGTTGAGGATCAAAAAATCCTTAAGAACATGGTTGTTTCCTTTAAAGATCTCTTCAAGGAAGATACAGATGTCAAACCAAAACTCTCTACTACTAAATGCTTTCCTTCTTTATCTGCCATTCAACTTCAATCCTTACACAGGGAAGTAACCAAAAAAGAAATCAAAAGTGTTGCTTTTGATATTGGGGCTTTCAAATCTCCAAGTCCTTATGGCATTAATGCTGGTTTCATCTATTCTTACTAGGACAACCTGAAGGATAGCATCTTTAGCCTAGTCAAAAGAGTCTTTAAAGAAACAGATTATATTAAGGAGATAAATGACACCTTTATTACCTTGATTCCTAAGATCGATCACCCTACAAGCATGAAAGACTTCCGACCTATTTTTCTCTGTAATGTTAGCTATAAAATTATCACTAAAATTCTTTCCTCTCATCATTGTGTTTGTATGAACCACTTAATTAATGATAATCAAAGTAGCTCTATACAAGAGAGGCAAATCAGTGATAATATCATTATTGCTCAAGAAATTATCCACTCTATGAGAAATAAAACTGACAAAAAAGGCTTCATGGCTCTTAAGGTGGATCTTGAAAAGGCTTTTGATAGATTATCCTAGAATTTCATTGATGATACTCTTGATGTAATTGGGTTAAATAGTCACTTCAGATATTTAATACAAGTTGCTATCTCCACTACTCGTTTCAAAATCTTATGGAATGGCGAACCTTCAAATGATTTCACTTCTTCTTATGGCATTCATCAAGGAGATCCTCTTTCTCCTTATCTTTTTATTCTTTGTATTGAACAATTAAGTCATTTCATTCTTAATAGCATTGATAGAAATGAATGGAAGCCAATTAGGCTAACACCTAAAGGGCCTCTTATTTCTCACTTTTTTTTGTTGATGATTTTTGTTTTTTTCAAACCTATCACTATCCCAAGCGCAAGTCACCTAGTGATGTCTTTCATAATTCTATAATGCTTCTGGTTAGAAAATCAACATTGACAAATCTAAACTTTACAAATTAATGAAGAACTTGGAATTCTCCTCGCTAGAAACCTTGGCAAATATCTTTGGAATTCCTCTTATTCATGAAAAAATTTCAAAGTTTACTTCTGCGGCTTTAATTGATAAGACTAATTCTCAATTGGCTAATTAGAGAAGTCAATATCTCAATATTGTGGGTAAATCGATTCTAATAAAATATGTTCTCTCAACTCTTCCCAACTACAGCATGCAGACTATGCTCCTACCTAATAATGTGCTAGCAAAATTGGACAAAATATCTAGAAATTTTCTTTGGGATTCTACTAATGGGAGCAAAAAACCTCACCTTATCTCTTGAGAATGTGTTACTTCTGATAAAAAGGTTAGGGGACTTGGCCTCAAAAGGCTCAAAATTAAAATATAACTTTCCTCATAAACTATGTTAAGGTCTTATCACTAAACTGAGTTGCCTTTGGGTACGAGTCTTGTGCCATAAATATCATTGTAACATACCCAATATTCCTATGGTTGTCAAACCCATTTCTTGCTCCTATATTTGGAATAGCATATGCAAAGTCTAGACTAAATTCATGTCACTTATTGGTTGGAAAGTGGGAAAAGGAGATAAAATATCCTTTTGATATGATAAATGGTCTCCCTTGCCAAACCCTCTTGTTAAACATGCCTACAATAATGCAGATTCTATTTTTCATGCTAAAGTCTCTGATTTCTGTAAATTTGGTGGTGGATGGAATTTTGATATCCTGTGAAGATACCTTCATCCTAATGTGATTAAACAAATTGCTCTTGTGCAACCTCCTAACAAATATGGTCAAGATGATATTATTATTTGGAGGCCCTTTAGTGATGGTAACTTCTTTGTCAAATCTGCCTATAAAGCTTTAGAGACTCAATAGGCTTAGGATCATTCTAACATATGTTACAAAATTTAGAAACGGCTTACCTATGAGAAAAGTAAATATTTCCTTTGGAAGGTGGCTTGGGATCAGCTTTAAATAAATATCAAAACATTATTTTCATTTAATCCCTTGGTCCCATAGTGAAATTTCAAAATCTGTTGGGTCAAATTTGAAAATAAGTCCCATCCATTATCTTTTATTGAAATTAAACAGTTTCGTGGGCTTTATTTGGGATACGCATATTTCACTATTTCAGTGGTCCTTTTTTTTTTTTTTGTCATTCTCCCCTTGTTTCTTGGATGTGGTTGTGATTCCACTTTTTTTTTTTTGGCCCAGTGATTCTCTTTCTTTATATGGCCGAAGGATGTGTCTTTTTTTTTTTTTTTGGTTGAGTTTGGACCATTTTTGGACAATTTTGAGAACATATTATAATTATAAATAAATTAAAATCCACACCAAGATTTTGACCATGCTTGAGGAAGGCGGCAAAATATATCAACACACAGCTGCGGCGCCGCCCCTCCGTAACCACGCATGGCGAAAAAATATCTTGCGAAAAATCCACCGTGATGTTCATGTGCGAAGATATTTTTGCTGATACAACTAACAACATTAACGAAGATACTTTTGCCCCCAAAAAAAAATATAATAGTATGTTTTATGATATTAAAAATATAAGATTATAAATCTAAAAATAATAATAACCTATTGCTAATTTGCTATGATCCTTGCTTAGCTAAGAACTTAAGATCATTTGACATCATTATTAACTTATTTAAAATAAAAATTAAAATTAAATTATATAAAACTCTCCTAAAATTTGAACTATATGAAAAATATGTCTTAGTCTTTAAACTTGTCAATGTATAACTTTCTGCCATTAATTGTTTTCTTGTTTCACTCATAAACATAATATCTAATCTCCTTAAATTTTGGGTTATAAGAAAAATCTTTTATTATAAAAAATATTTTTTCTCACACATATCCTATTATTAAAGGTAATTTATTTGAGGCACAGTTAATATCAAATGTGAATATCTTTCTTAATAAAAATTTAAATTTTGATTCACCATCTAATAAGGTCCCAAACCTTTTTAGTTCAAAAATATTGTTTTAAATTGACAATAAAAATATTTAATATGCATAATCATACTGAATTGGAAAAGGTACTCAGCTAAAAATCTAAATTTAGAAAAATCAAATATTTTTTCTCACTTCATTACCTTTTTAAGAACTGAGAAGTGACTTGCATTTTTAATTTAAGAAAATTGAGATGCATTAATACTACTTTGTTTTGACCACAGGTCAAAAAAGCTGTGTTTTGACCAGCGGATATTAATGACGATAAATACCTGTTGTTCAGTTATTTGCCTATCATCGCCTCTGTTTATTGTAGCTTCAGGCCAGAGGATCAGCTATGTATTCTTTGGCTCCATTCCCTTCCTCCAAATTCCACTTTTTCTCTTTTCGATTTCCATTTACTTCTTCTCCTTCTCCTTCTCCTTCTCGAGTTGTCTGTCACGGTGGTTCCGATTTACAGTATGTTCCCTGCGACCTCAAGCTCGTCTTGCATGATACTCTTGATTCCTCTGGAATCGACACTACTCATGCCAGAGTAATTCTCATTTCTTCCTTCAATTTTCTCATTTTGATTTACCTGGTTTTGCGCGGAACTTGATTTGATAACTTATTCTGATTTTGAGTTGTTGATCATGTGAAAATTGGAACTCCTAGTTCTTTAATTTCAGCTGAAGTTCAAGCATCGAACTTTTCTTTTTGTATTTTTTTTTTATTTGCTAAATTTTGTTCAGATTCTTCTGGTACATTAATATGACAGTTTAACGTAATTCATGTAATTTTTCATTCATTTGGTGTATAATTGATTAATGATGTTAATTTCAAGCATATTTCACCTTGTTTTGATGGAAAACATGGTTTTAGCTTAATTCATTCAAAATTGGGTTTTGAATTTCAACTTTCATGTCTTAAGAAGGTCATGATTTGATGCATCATTGGTGGATGAGCAGGAAGCAAGGAAGGAATTCTGCTCACAGATTCAGAGATTCTGTTGTATCGAGAGGCAAACCAGCATCAGCATCAATAGATGTGTTGACCTGGGAAGAACTGCTTTATGTATAGGTGCAGAGGATGATTCTCTTGTATCACATTCGTCTGTTCCACTACCGGTCGATGCTTTCATCGAAAGATTGGATGATCTTTCAATGGACTATTGTCCTCACTACAGCCCATCATTGGACTCATCCCCAGAGAATTTCTTAGAGAGTTTAGAAAGATATCTGTATGGTCACAAGGTATGATCATGGGCTTTCATAATACTGGTTTAAGCCTTGAAAGGAATATTACATATTTTTTTACGTGCAACTAGCAGAGTATCATGCATCAATAAAGGGACCTGGAAAGCGTTAGACTGAATATCAAAACTGATAATATTTTTTCAATGCTTAAATTCAAGTAGTTTGATTTCTTCCAGGCTCATTGTTCCGTTAATAGATCAAGCTTAATTATTTGACAACTGGATAATTAGCAGTTTGTGACATGCACTGTTTGCTAAAATTTCCTTTAAGATTTAATTACATAATAAAACTATGTATGGAATTTTGCCTAAGTCTAGCCACATGCTAGCCACATGCTGGCCACAAAATCTACTAAAGCATAATAGTTCTATAGAAATGAATACTCTCTTAAATGTTCTTTTTTTTTTCTGAGTTTAAGAATTTGAATTTGGACATTTTATTGGTTCATCATGTACTGATTAATCAAATTTTTGGGGCCAATTTCTGCCTCTTATCATAATGGCCTTTTCTTGAACACCTCTTATTCTTCACAGGGTTTTCGAAGAACCAGTGCAAATCAGATGGAATCACAAGCCCTATATCTCCACTCTGTATGATTTATATATTACTCACACCTTTGTTATTCTTTAAGAGAATCCTATTATGAGTGAAGCACTTGGTATATTTTTAGTGATATGCTGTGCAGGTTTTGACACATCGTTCAGGAACAGTTGCAATGCTTGCACTTATATACTCAGAAATTCTGAAAATGCTTCGTCTTTGGGGCCTTGTGAACTTTGATGCTGAAATTTTCTTTCCTCATGATTTTCATGGCCTTCCCAGAGGTTACCATAAACAAAAAAGCAAGGAATCAGACCAAGCACACGTAATGACTTCAGAAAATCTGTTATATGAGGTGATTTATGATTGCTGTTGTTCCTTTAACTTTCTTTGTTCTATATATCCAATGCACTGCCATGAAGTCTTTTTACTATTTTATAGCAGTAGATTTCCATTTGCTAATGTTTAAACAGCCAAATAACAGTAGCCACTTAGTTTGCCTCTTTGCTGGAATGGATTCAATTTTTTCCTTCAAAAATGTTTATGAGATTGCTTTTGGTAGTGGTATGCGCTACTGGGTGTTTTATGGACTCTGAAGCTTCTTTCTTGCTTACTGTCTGATTCAGTGTAACATCTTTAATGAGAAAGCATATGATTAACAGGAGCATCTGCTACAAATTTCAAGCCCTCTGTGTGTGTGTGTGTGTGTGTGTGTGTGTGTGTCCAGTTTATTTTGTATCTGCCAATTCTGCTAACTAAACTATAAATTAGTAGTATGCAGCTCAATCTACTTTTTAGGGTTCTGCTGGTTGCAATTTAAGAAGTACTGGATGTACTTTGTTTTAATGAAATGCAATTTTTCTGGGTAAATTAAATGTGATAGTAAAAGCTAAAAGTCAATGAAAACATCAGGGCAAAAGTCATCATTGTATCATTAATGCAGCATTTAAGCTGTAAGATTACTTTTACTGCATTTTTTTTTTTTCGGAGGGGGGTTTTGCCTACTGACAAACATTTTGACTGACTCTAATAATAAAAAAACCATTTTTTATTTACATTTTAGTGACTGGATCTTTCTTGTAGTATCTTGACATTTCTGCTTGAAAATCTTTGCCGAACTAGGTCACTCCTCTATTTGTCATTCTCCATTGTCATAGACTATATCTTGGGCTGCATTAGTCTACCTTTTTAATTTTTAGTACTCATGTTACCTGTTTGTAGATCCTGAATAATCTCAAGCATTCATTCTGGCCTTTTCAACATGATCATACCAAAAGCTTATTCTTAAGGGCAGCACATGCTGCAAATTGCGTTGACAGATCAGATTTTATTGGAGAAAGGTATTTTATATGGTGATTATCTTATTTATAATTTTTTCTATGTATTACTTTATATGAGAACTTGTTTAAAAGCTGGTCAACTGCAGTGGCTCTCAACTAGCATCTGCTAAGGCTGCTCAACATAGGCTAGATCGGGGTGTTTGGACCAGTGTACGTTTAGGGGACATGAGGCGTTCATTGGCTGGTATGAATTTGTTGTGCATTTTCTCTTTCCGTGATCATCTCCAAGTATTCTAGACCCAGGAGAATGGGAAGAGGTCTTCCATATAAAACACCCTCACCACTACCATGCCAACACACAATAACAGCAAAGCCTTATCTCATTAGATAGAGTTGGCTATATGAATTACACGACATCATTATGCTCTATCATCAATCAAACCTTTAGGAATATTGTTAACTAAAAGGTCTTGTTCAATAACTTCCATGAATACTCTCTTTAGTCTTTCCCTACCCCTCTTTACTGGGCTCAAGACTATCTATTTCGCTCTCCTTAATGCTGGTGCCTCCTACAAATTTCTCTGTACATATCCAAATTATCTTAAATGATTTTCTATCATCTTCTCTCAATGAATGTCACACCCACTTTTCTTCAGAAATGCTCATTACACAATTTTGGAAGAGTTGTAGACCTAAGCACTCATAGTAATGAATTCATGTTATTGCATGCGCGTCTTCTTTGTCGCTGATCTTGAATTAAAAGACCAATAGTACTTGGAACTACTAGCAAAGCAATATCTTAACATGCGATATATCCTTCTTTCCCTGTTAAAGTTTACCATCAGTTATGCAAGAGAGCATTTTGACTTACGTGTCAATTTTGCGCTACTCTTTTAGCTTGCGAACGTCTACTCCTTCTGAAATCTGATGCAAATGAATTAAGAGACTACGGCACTCTTCTCTACCATTGTGGACTTTATAATCAGGCATTGGAATATTTGAAATTGTACAAGGATTTGAAGGTACTATTACAATTCTATGACACATACGCAAATGACAGCTCTTCCAGACGACCCAAATGAAATGAGTTTCATTTTATATTTTGCAGAGCTCATCGATGCAAACTCAGTCATCAAACTCTTTGAGCAGCATCGAAGAAGATGCTGTGGATAAACTGATTACACGCTTGAATCTCATCTTGATGGAACAAGGGTGGAGTCGCCCATCTTATGTCAGAAACTTTTTCAATAATAACTCTGAACCATGGTAGCTTACCTTCCACTTTTTACTGAGGCAATGCCGGGGCCGATGTGAATTTTCGCACACAGTAAAGGAATGTTCACAGTACTTGGCAGCAAGTTTCAATGAATTTTACAACAATGAAGAGTGGATTCATGGCATGGATGATGAAGACGTTGTACCTATATCGGTCATGATTGGCCAAAAAATTAAACGGTGGTAGCAACCGGAAATTGCAGAGAAATCCTAGAGGAAGACATTACATTGTTTGGTTGATGCAATGATCAACCCTCTTTTTGTGGGTAGAAAATAGCATGGCCATGTGCATAAATAATAACGTCTGGAAAAAAAGAGTGGAGAATTGGTGTTTCTGAAGGGTGTGTATATGTATGTGTGTGTATATATATACACACAATGAATTTGTAGAATTATAATAAGCAGAACCTGTTTGTATGTACCCGTTGTATTCAAGATGCTTGTGATTTTCTCATCAAGTCGTCACAAGCAGGAGGAATATATAATGAGATCTTGATACTGTGTGTGCTACCTCCTCATGCTCTTCTCTATTTTTACCTCTTTATGTTCATACTCAAACCTCTGTACATTGGCCCAAGAAAAATACTACCTGTTAAACCTTTTTTAAACAAAAATAATGAAACTTTATGAGCCAATAGATCCTTAGGCAGCTGAGATGGGTTAAGAATTGGGTGGGCCAGGCTGTGAAAATATCCTGAGTTTGGGCTTTTTTAAAATCGTGTAAATGGGGATCTATGGGTTCTCCTAAAAGCAATGTTTAATTAGATTATCCTCACAAGCAAAGGTGGGCCTTTTGTGACTCAGCTTGTAGTTAGTGAGTCAAAGTATGGGTTTTTTGGGAGCCTGGAACGTATGTGGTTATTTGGACCTCGATAAATTTAGAAGTCTTTTTGGGGAAATCTCAGGTAAAAATTGACTTTTTTGTGAACAAGTATAAATTGAAATTGATATACAATGATACTACCTCCAAGTTAGCTATCAGTTGTTTCTTACAAATAAGCTCTTTTAATTATCACTTGTTTTTATAAAGAGACCCAGAAATAGTAATTTGAGGTTCTAATAACGAAGATAATGTTAGAATTTTTTTAAAAAAATTTATAATATAGAGGTGGGGAGAGGGAACAGGAAGGAAAAAAAAAAAAAAACCAGCCGAACTAGTTGAATCGCCACCTAGATGCAAATGCACCTTGATTTGTCTCATTAACCCATTTTGCAGATTAGCCTATTTTGGACTGCTTTGGACCAAGCAAGTTTGATGGAACTAGAATTAACCTAAAACCCGAAACAATTGGACCGTTTTAAATCATTTCTTTTCTTTTCATGCTATGACTGAACAACTTTGAATTGAAAATGACATTTCCTATATTTTGTATGTTTTATTTATATATGTATACATATAAATATTATTTATTATTTATTATTTTGTCACTAGCTCGACCGCAATTATAACCGATTGAACTATGAAAATTGTAATACGTTAATCTCTCTGGTTTATCATCCAGTCCAGTCCATGTTTAAAACATTGAAAATTTGGGTGTTCATCATACGCAGTGGTCCAGTTGTGCGGTGCAGGGTCAGAGTGGTTTATTATGCCAGTGTCCAACCTAATATATATTTTTGTTTTTTTAATACTTTAACAATATTGATAAATTTTTACTTTAACATGTATAATGAAATGAATTAATTTTTCTACTTACTATCATATGAAAAAAATAAAGTATATATATATATTATATATTTTTTAGTACTCGATATGTTTGGGGGAAAGGCTAATGTTTATTAAGCCAAGCCCATCCAGACTTAAACATTTAAAACTTTTTGGTTAAGTCTGGACTAAGGTGAAGCCCAACTGACCCATAACTATCCTTACTATTAACTAGAAACCATCCCAAACCACGGGTTGGGTCTTATAAAAAGTGTTAATTCATCATAATATGATAAATTATGATTTGAATTCTTTGTAAGAAAAAAGATTGCAGAAGATACTTATGAAAACCGAAAAAGAAGCATTCCAAATTCTTAAGTATTTGACCTTCCTAATCCTAAAAGGCTAAAAGGGAGACTCCAACGAAGGGAGGAGATGGTTCCACCTTAATCCATACCCAGTCTCCCAAAATGGGGCCCACTCTTCCTGTTTTTATTTTGGATAGGTGAACTCGATGTCACTAAATCATTAAGAAGCCATTTGATTGTTAATAAAAATGTAAGGATGAAATGAATTAAAAAAAATAAAATAAAAATGAATTAAATCATCATTTTTTTCTTTTGAGAAGTGTAATAAAACTTAATACCATATATCACTAATATGTGAATCACTACCACACTCTCCACAAATTTTATGAATCATAACTCTCAATTTCATAAATTAAATTATTCTTCTTTTACCCAAACCAAAAAAAAAAAATTATCCTTCCCCTCTCTCTGTTTTTTTTTAAGCCAATTCCTCTCTTGAACATGTTTAACTTATCTCTGCTCCCTAGTTTGATCAGTTTATTTTTGTTTCTATTTTTTATTTATTTTATTCTTTTTCTTCCAGCAACTAAACGGCTCAAGACTTTGGAGTTTGGCCACCCTTCTTTCTATCTCCATTTACTTGTTATATCAAGTACTTCACCTTTCTATTGTAAAAATAAATGGGGAAAGAAAAATGGACTCCCACCCCTGTGTGTGTGTGTGGGACTTTAGAGTCATAGGGTTCATTATTTTGAGTTTTTTCTTTTTCTTTTTTTACTTGCTATTTCAACCCATGAAATATTTGAAGGTTCAAATTACACCCTCTAGTCTAAAATGGTAAAAAAAAAATTATTTTTACTTTTAAAATTATCTTCCCATTGAAATAAATATATATTAATTACTTATAATTTGTTTCTTTTATAATCTCTCAACCATGCAACTAATAAAGGCATTTGTGAAAAAGAAAAATTTAATACTATTGACTTTTTACAAAGTGGTCTCCAGCTTAATCAACGCTAGTTGATAGAAAATGACATATAATATCTCTGTTTAAAAATGTAAAATATTTTTTGAGGAGTTAATGTTTAAAAATGTAAGGTATTTTTAATCTTTCAAAGTGTAATCATTATTTTTTTCCAAAAGTACCCCTATTAATAATGATTTTATATTTATTATAAGGTATTTAATAAGAGTAAATATAAAAAGATGAGATTAGTTGGAAAGTAGGTAATTATTTTGGTAGAGGATAAAATTTAATTAAAAATATTTTATATTTTTAAATAGAAGAAGTATATTTTACACAAGGGAGTAACATACAGTTGTGTAAGAATTTTTTTTTCTTTAGTTTTGGCCTACATTTAATGTCACACTATTTTAAATCTTAAATTAATCCATGTAACATGGTATTATTAAAAACAGGTAATAATTATACTTGAAATTATGGAACAGTGCATATATTTAGTGATGAAGTAAAAGATATCCAAATTGAAGGACAATGAGAAAAAAGGTCTGTATTGTTAAAATTTTTATTTCATATGCCATTATTTTCATATTAATTTTAAGTAACAATGATTTATATAAATATTTGCACTATCTATGTAGTAAAAATTGGAAGATTACTTTTATGATTTATTTTATTATTCATTAAAGTGGATATTTATTTATTTTTATTTTAATAATCAATTTATTTTTAAAAAAATATACTTCCTTTGTTTTTATTTATAAAAAAACTATCATTTTTATTTTTTAATATAAGCAAAATCATAATTTTCAATATACGCTTATTATAAATTTTTTAAATTACTTCTCGTGATTTCATCATTCATAATCATAAGAAACAACTAATGAAAGATATTTTAGTTCAATTTTTTATTTTTTAATACTATTAATATAATTAATTAATTTTTTTAAATTATCTGATACAGCCTTGTTTTTTAGAAAAAGAAGGAGTACAATCTAAAAACAATTCTATATTTTTGTGCAGTGTAGTGTCCTAATTAATGAACCATCTAGAGTAATTATGGAGCCATGAAATTCTAAACTTGTGATAACATCACAAAATTAATTATATCCACAATCAAATAAATGATTGCAACGCAATTCTCAAGAGATGTACGAACATTAGAATTTTTTTCCCAACGAGTAAATCACGCTGAAAAGCATGAAAAAAAAAAAGGAAAATATAGTAAGCAATACTGTTAGTAATATCAATGGCGTAAAAATATGAAATATCACTTTTACTGTCACAAATGTAACAAAAAAGAATAAAAGCTACAAACCTAAAAAGCCTACATATAGATATAGACATGTAATGGAAGGGAAGAGAAAATGTGAAGCGTGAAGAAGATTGAGAAAGAAAGAGTACAAGAAATGGTAATTAGGAGTTATAGAGTAGAATAGGTTTTCACATGCAAAGATATAGTGGTTTTGTAGTATGTTTGGTTGTTTATAGGTACGACTCGAAATTTAAACCTATTCTAGGCTTAGGCTATGCCATTCCTATTCCGCCTAACACTATCCCTGCTATGGATAGGCATTATCAGAGATCCAAACAAACGAGATGGAAAGTGATGAATGATCCTAGTGAAAGGCTACCACAAAAAAAAAAAAAGATGAAATGGGTAATTTATTGCCACTTTGAAAAGTTACGTCTCAGTGAAAGTCTTGTCGTGTTATTATTAATTATTGAGCAGTTAAGCAGATTTGACACCAGCCACGTTCGATCATGCTCGTGGTCATGTTCATTAGTAACTTGCAAAAGTTTATTTCCTCTTGTTTTATTTAGGGAAAATCTATCACCCAAATCTTTTATTTTAAATATATTTTATTTTTAATCAATAAAATAATCTTACTTTACCTTTTTATTAAAAAAAGGTCCGCCGGGTGAGACAGACGAGAGCCTCCAAGGGAATTATTGATCACGAGAGGATTTGAGGACATAACCTCGTGGGTTCCGAAGAAAAAAATAACACCACTAGACAAGTAAAACGATTTGATAAACGTGTGCAAAATATTTTATATATACATGTAGAAAGTTGGTGAAATAAAATTTAGTAGTCAATGCCTTATAAAGGATTTGTTATTCATGTTAACTGACTTCTTAATAAAAAAAAGTACTCATTTAATAATTATTGTTGTATAAAGTAATTGTTGTTTGTGCTAAGTAATTTGTCAATGAAAATTATGTTCATTTAATAGTTATTATTATATAAAATACTTGTTATTTATATTAAATGACTTGTTTATGAAAAATATACTCAGTGGTCATCATTTTATAAGGTAATTATTATTTACAGTAAGTTAGTATTATATAAGGTATTTATTGTACAAAGTATTTTATATAATAATGACTACTAAATGAGTATATTTTTTTATTAACAAATCACATATCATGAATAACAAGAACTATGATTGTTAAATTCTATTTGATCAACATTGTCTCCCAAAGTTCAAATAAATATATGTATGTATTATATGAAACCTTGCGTTGGGTTGCTTCAATAATCCAGGCCTCGTTTGGTATGATGGAAGAGTTTTTGATGG